TTACATTTACCCATGTACATAGGTGTTTATCCATTAACACAGTTCAGCTGTACATAGGTGTTTATCCATTAACACATTCAGCTGTACATAGGTAGTTATCCACTAACACATTCAGCTGTACATAGGTAGTTAAATAGAGCAAAGAATTTTTAACATCTGTTTTTTCTATTGAAGTGAGACTAACATGAGTAGAATATGAAATAGTTCAACATTTGTGGTTCCAATGGTTAGTGAAGAAATATAAGTTTAGGAAACTGTATATAGATTGAAACATTTAACACCATTTAGTTAAGGCTTTTCTCAATAGTTCTTTCTTGACTGTTACGCACAAAACTATTTAGAAATGTGATACTTGGTTTTTCTGTATTCCTGTCTGTTTATCCAAGCGTTGACTCCATAAGTTTCAGGATAAAATATTGAGTGACATAGTATAAACTAGATTGTAATTTTCACCACCCTTACAGGTTATATCACACACCAAGTTAGGTAAGTTTTGTTTTTCATGTTTTTTCAAGATAAAAAAGTTTATTAAAGAAACCAGCTATTTGTGTCATCTGTTTCTGAAGAGTGTTTATGATTTTTTAATTTAATTTTCAACACATTTTATGTGAAACATACAGCTTTATGATCAGTTTGATAAAATCTAAGAAATTATATGTTCTAATGGTCAGAAATGACCTCTTTTTGTTTTATGTGAAACATACAGCTTTATGATCAGTTTGATAAAATCTAAGAAATTATATGTTCTCATGGTCAGAAATGACCCCTTTTTGTTTTATGTGAAACATACAGCTTTATGATCAGTTTGATAAAATCTAAGAAATTATATGTTCTCATGGTCAGAAATGACCCCTTTTTGTTACATTACAATTTAAAAAATTTTTTTTGCATGTTTAATATTCATGATTAATGTCCATAATAAATTATATACACTTTTCATTGCTCATAAATACTAGTAAATAAGATGTCCATGTCTCTTTTTGAGTAACTATATCGGGTAGATCATTATTTTGTTCTTTTTTGTTTGTCCATAACTTTTCTTTTAGAACATCAAAGATACATGATGTAGGTTTAGGGTATCCAGTGTGGGCTAAATGTAAGGATACAATTCTATTAGAAGATCAAAGATATAGCAACCCATGATGTAGGTTTAGGGTATCCAGTGTGGGTTAAATGTAAGGAAACGGTTCTTTTAGAACATCAAAGATACATGATGTAGGTTTAGGGTATCCAATATGGGTTAAATGTAAGGATACAATTCTATTAGAACATCAAAGATACAGCAACCCATGATGTAGGTTTAGGGTATCCAGTATGGGTTAAATGTAAGGAAACGGTTCTTTTAGAACATCAAAGATACATGATGTAGGTTTAGGGTATCCAGTGTGGGCTAAATGTAAGGATACAATTCTATTAGAACATCAAAGATACATGATGTAGGTTTAGGGTATCCAATATGGGTTAAATGTAAGGAAACGGTTCTTTTAGAACATCAAAGATACATGATGTAAGTTTAGGGCATCCAGTATGGGCTAAATGTAAGGGTTTATGAACTCCAACTTGTATACAAATTCAGCATAGATACAGCATTTAAAATTTTCTTATTGTCATCTGATATATAACAGTATTTAATGTATTGTTTTACTTTTGGCAAACTTATATGTGATTACTGCTCTTACTTTTTCTTATAAAGAGAGGGTTTGTTATTTTCAACAATGTTTGATTGCCATATGTTTTATAAGTGTTTATCTTATTATCAAGAAGTGTTTGTTATTTTCAACAATGTGTGATTGCCATATGTTTTATAAGTGTTTATCTTATTATCAAGAATTGTTTGTTATTTTCAACAATGTATGATTGCCATATGTTTTATAAGTGTTTATCTTATTATCAAGAA